GCTCGGCCCCGGGAGGGGAGAGCGGTCGGAGGGCGTTGGGCTGCTCCCTGCAGCTCCCTGACCCCGGTGAGGCTGGCCCTTTCCCCCTCGGAGGGGCTCCTGCAGTCTCTGTCCCTGGGTATAGCCAGCGATACCTCTGCTGTTCTGCAAACGAGTAACCAACAGCTGATCACTTTCGCATTTTTCTCTCCTGCCTTTTCTGGCCCTGCAGCAAAGGGAGGGAGCTGCTGTGTGCGGGGCTGTGGCCGCTGTTGGACAGACCCCACCCGCTGCCGGAGGGCTCTGCTGCTCCAGCTCCTTCCCTCCCGGGGACGTGCCTGGACCATAGTAGTTGAATCAACCTTAAATCCTTCTTCACAGCTCTATTTACAAGCCCACGTGAAGACGTCTTCCCACAGCTTTTCCACTTGTGACATCTTTGCTCGCTGTCTGACAGTGGTGTTCTTGCTTCCCTGCTGCTCTTTACACCAAGAACATGCAACAGTTGCCTTGTTTTACTGCTTCTCCCTCCTTTACACGTACAAGGAATCAGATCATTAATTGGAATTAAGTTTAACAGTAGATGAAGATCACTTTATGTATTCACTGATGAGAAAATAGTTTAAAATATCTGTGTGTTCTCATTTAGGATGAGCTTTGCCTTTGCTCCCCTTCCATAGGGAGTGATACTTACTTACTGTATGTCTGTCTACTTCCATCGTAAGCTCTTGGTGCAGTGTCACTTAGCTCACAGACTGACCTCTTGATCCCTCTGGAAGCTGTCACTACTATTTACCTGTATCTCAGTGAGTAAACAGTGGTTATCAGAAATGACCAATTTCATCCATGTTATTTCAAGAAGGAGCAAAAAAAGCTATGTTCTCAGCATACATGATCTATGACTTAGATTCTCATAAAGTGTATCATTAAAATGGACATGCCTTTGTAAGGTTGGTCTACACTGACACAAGTACAGATATTTTTGGGGATACTACTTAATCCCAGAGCTGGACAGCAGTAATGCAAAGCTACTCTCACCTCCTTCCAGCAAACAAAAAGAAACTAGCTAGTATACAGAAAAAGCCCTGCAGACTCCACTACCTTCAGCCTCAGTGGAGGAACAGCTATGCAATGTGATCTTGGTTTTGAGATCGTGGCACATAGGAGCCCCTAATCGTATCATGACCTGGGAGTGCCCCTGCCCTTATGACAGTTTCAGTGGCAGGGGCGTCCCTTGTCCCTGTTCTCCCACACCAGATCACTTGACGGGGGAAGAATCACACGTTGCCCACCCACGTGCAGCACCACAACTCACCTGGCTTTGGAGAAGCACGACAGAGTCCTGATGCGGTATCCAAGGGCTGGAGATGGGCTAAGAAGGAAGGGAGTGGGGCTGTAGTCCTCTGAACCTTCTCCCTGCCGTTTGTGATCGGCCTGTCATTTTCAGAGAGCATAGAGGTGGTTACAGATCCTCACAATATAAATGTTTCTGTTCTTTATACAGGCCAAGGCCAGAGTTTATCAACATACAGTTGTGCTCACATCAGGTGCGGAGGGGAAGCCTTCCTCTTTCAGCCACTCCGCAGCAATGATTTCCTTGCCCCAACTTTATTTCATCACCAGATGTCTTTGCAGACTGGCAACTTAAATCTCTGTAGTAGCAGGTTGTATGTACCTGTTGCATGTGCCCTCTAGCTTCTTTACTATGAGTTGGGAAACTAATACTGTAATCCCACCTAAGTTAATGGGACAAATAAGCTTTCAGGTATTACACACTTGTGCATGTAAATTCCTGTGCATGAGCTGGCATTTTGTGTCTGTTAATGTGTTCCTTGAATTTTTGCTGTATTCAGGAATTAACTGGTTCAGATAAAGGCACTAACAATTTTCAGACTGACCAGTGTACATTAGCTCTGCTACAAAATTGAGAATGATCCTGAGCCATTTTACAGGTTATTATCAGTATAAAAAGTGAGGTCCACAGTCCATACAATAGCTTCTTACCCATACCTTTGTGAGCCTGCAGGCAAGACTATTTTTTTGTGCGTATCCCCATCTTCAAATGGGAAGCAGAGTGAAGTAGTGCACATGGATACAATGGACCTGTAAAAACAAGAGTACAGGTGAAAAGGAATTGAGACATGAAACATTTTCTGTTAAAACTCCTGTCTTCTTTCATGTTTAAAATACCAAAGAGCTGCTAGCAGAATCATTTATTATAACTAATATATTTAACAATAGAAAGAAATATCAGCTAAACCAATTAAATCAATTTCATTGTGGGGCAAATCCATTGACAAATACAGTCCATTGTGAAAGGGACCCTTGCCAGTCAATTCTACATGAGATTTAGACGATAGAGAAAAGTTTTTCCAGTCAGTTAATTCATGCTTTACTACTTCAGAAAGCAAATTCAGCAGTCCCTGTTTCTCCCCCAGGTCAGAAATAGCATGTTTATAAACTCAGTCTGACACTGTCAGACTCACACAAGATTGCTGGAAATTCAGCAGAAGCCGTTGCTGTTACATGACTCTTCTTACCACTTCCAAACTAAGGCTCAGGAGGAAACCTTGCTTCGGTGGTTAACAGTTCCAGTTGGCCAGGGTCTGTTTCTTTGTGGACAACCAAGATGTTGAATTGCAGAGAATATTTAAAAGTGCAGAACCTGTGTCCTTTGGCTGACTGGAGGTTGAAGGAGCTGACCTGTTGAATCTCAAGTCAGGATTTAGACAAGTCAACTCCTGCTCTTACCCCATCTTACAAATAACATGTAACTAGTCCATAGGCATGGTGACTGAGCCTGTGGGGAGCAGTCATTCAGATTATATCGAGCTGGCCACTGGGTGGTCACCGAACTAGGTGCAGTGCAACTACAGACAGTTTCCTCCTGTACCTCATGAGCAGTGCTACAAGGGTTAAAACAGCTGATGTGCCTAAAGCCGACCTGGATGTGCAGAGAGAGACATGGTGCCAGCTGCCCCAGTTCCAAGAGCAGGGTACATAGTTTCCCGCAGGCCAGTGCCCAGACTATAATAACGCTATGACAAGTTTACCTACAAATTGTGGGATTAAAACTGCATTCTTGAGGCAAAGGTTTTTATCATCTGGTCTACCACTGTAGCTGGGACAGAAGCCAGTTTTACAAGCTCAGACCCAAACTGGTGGCATTTAGCAATTACAGGCATGCCTTGAGAGACTTATTGCAGAGAACCTAAATGGTAGAGGAGAGCATTGCCCCTCCTTTTTTTTTTTTAACATAGTTTTGCAGGTTGGTTTGTCTGCAGCTGTGTGCAGAACTTTTCAAAGATGGAAGTTTCCCTGGGAGTACACCAGTACCTTCACTCCTGATTTCAACAGATTTGAGCTTTACACAGGGCAGTGGCTTATAGCCCACCGCCAGCGATCACTGGAGACCTGCTGCAGACTAGGCAGGTAACAGGCATTCCT